TTAAAAAAGAAATATGTACAACTAAATTGTGCCTGGGACATTTTAAAGAGACACAAAAGCAAAGATTAATGTGGTAACCCCTGACCAAATGAAGGACACGTTAGCACATACACTGAATGTGATAAAAACTCCAACAGCAAAGAGCGATAAAAGGAACAAACCAAATAATATATCCGTTATTTTTCTTTATATAAAATTGTGTATCTTTCCTTCATTTTTGCTTTATTTTAAAAGGACCTGCCATGAAGAGCTGCATATTTTAAATCATTCAGCCCGTTAAGCAAATTAGACCATTATAAGGAGAGATTTTGTGATAGGGAAGAAAGTTCATAAAATATGAGTTTGTAATCTACATCTAAAGTATAAGTAGCCTTCTACTTAGGAATACAATTTATTAAGTCAGTAGGAACATGGAACACTTCTTTTTTCTTTTGGATAGAAATGTTTAAGTGATAAGTGATAAGGAAGGAATAAAGGTCAGTACACAAAATGTACTTAATGTACATGAAGCATAGAACATACTGAAACCCAATCACCACGGAGAACACAGCTTCTATAGAGAAAAGGATGTCAGAATTGTGTACTGGAGGCCAGAGACTCATCTTCCCCAGCTGCAGGGGGATCATGATGATGGCTCCCTCTCTAACTTCTTTGTGCAGGAAGAATAAGGACTCTCCTATCCCTGATCCCAGTGCTAGCTGGGACTGGGAAAGTGTGTGGCAGGGAGGGGAACTCCAGGGTCTTTAAATCTTGGTAGGGATAAGGACATGCTCACCAGAAAGGCTCCCCACCCCACCCTACCCCCAGGGTCTCTGTTTGTTCCCAGATGACTCCCTCTGGGGCTGGCCCTGTCATCAGCAGCATCTGAGATTTCACAACCAAGTTACTGATCTCTCCTCTTTGCCGTGTGCCAGCCTTCCTCTACTTTCCTCCTGCAGAAAGCAAGCCCCCCTCACCACCACCAAAAAAAGAGGGAAGTAAACCCAGTGCCCTTTTAAAGTTTTTGTTCGTTTGTTGGCTTTTATTTTTTTTAAATGGGGACAAGGGAGAACAGAAATTGAAATAAGCCCCTTCCAGTCTTCCTACCTACTCTATTCTCACCCAAACACAGTAGGAAAAGGCAGTTATGGGTAGAGTTGGGTCTTTGGGTACACAAATAATAAAGATTTACTCTCCTTGCAAAACACACACACACACACACACACACACACACACACACACACACACACACCCAAAACAAAAACCTAACACCAACTTTAGATCACTGTCAGCATTCTATGAGCTGAAGTACTGCAGACTATAAAAAGGAGAAGAGGTCAGTATATGGAGAAACAGGGAATTCGTTTCTGGGGAAGGGAGCAGTAGGTGTCAAGGGAAAGAAATGTGGCTGAAGACGCTGTCACAAAGCACTCGGCCAGCCCTGGAGGGTTGCAGCGGGCCACTGCATCTCCTCTCCCCATCTTTCCACTTCCCAGGTCATGTGCGATAAGCTGCAGTTGGGGAGGAAGGGGGGGAAGCCACCCCACAGAGTGTAAGAGCAACAGGGAGATGACAAGGAGCTCCTGCAGCCACTCAGACTGCACTCGGGGACGTTCATTCCCTGGTAGCCCTTTGCATGTAAGGGTCACACTGCAGTGATCAGAAAATGTCCTGTATGACTTTAAATTATGCCTTCTACTAAAGACCCCTCCTACTAAGGTCTCCTATTTCAGAAAAAAACAATCACCAAATAGAGTGTATACTCTCCCATGAAGACCATCAACAATCTGAATATTTTGAAGAAAGAAAAAAAAAAAAGATTATCCTCAGAATTCACATACATACACACACACACACACACACACACACACACACACACACTGATCCTAAATTGAAATGAAGGAAAAGTTAAAGGTGAAATAAATCTATATGCACAAGCATACCTTTTCTTCTTACTGTTTTCTTCCACTTTTCCTTCTTTGGCTCCTTCTCTTTGTAGGAAAGAAAGGCAAGGGCAAATAGGAGACATTCAGAGGAAGTGGATGATAGACCGGCCATGCATAACAAAGGAGCTAGAGCTGAGCTGGACAAAGAAGCCTACAAAGGCATCTTGATGTAACCCACACACTAAGGAAACACACACACACACACACACACACACACACACACACTCTCTAGTAATATACTGTCACCAGTGAGACCACAGACGAAACTGCACAAGGTTGTCATCCTTGCAACCCCTTTTCCGAAGCCCTCCTCCCGTTGTGTCCCTAAACACTTAGAGCCCTCAGGCACCATCTTGGCCCACCACCCTAATCTCTCTAAAATTTTCCTTTCGTTTTTTCTTCTAACTCTCATTCAAAGCTTGCCTAACACAGTTATAGGTATTATTCTTAATAACTGATGACAGGAATTCACATCAATGAGTGGATGAGGTTTAATGGAGGGCTTTTTTTCTATTTTAAAAGAAATGTAAAACGGAAGGGAAGGGGTTGCTACGCATATTTGAACTGGGCCTTCAAGGTTCCAAACCTACTCCAGATCACGAGAGTTCCTAATTAAAGGTTCTTCTAATTTCACCTCTAAGAGAAGAGAGAGCCCTTGCTATTCTGCCTCACTCCCAAGAAATTACAATTCTTCCAAAGAAACAGAGAGAGGGAAGAAAGAAAATGCAGGAGAGGAAGAGAATATCTTTGTATTCTCCATCCTCACAATCCAATAAAGAGGGTGCGGCCACTTCCCACTGCAGCTTGGAGAGGCTAAGTACTTTGGCCAAAGGTCCACTATTAGTCACACACAGAAACACACACACACAGAAACACACCTTATGGATACATGCCAAATATATATGCAAGGTACCAAATTGTACAATTAATTTCACGAAATATGCTCTTTATGAAACAAATGCTGGTACGTACAAAAGGGAGTGAATATCTTACGTTGCCTTTGAAACTATCAGGTAAGTGCACTTTGCTGGGGGGGTACCATTTTTAAAAATCTTAACACCTGATTTGCCAATCTAGTCAGCTATCTATCTATAATAAGGTTCCCCATTCATAAATGAGAATGAGGTCACTGTCCCAATGAAAAAAGGTAAAACCTTAAAGCACCTTATCCCCACAGAGGCTCAATCTCACCCTCCAACATATTAATTCCCAGAACTACATTCTCCTCCAGATTCCACAAAATCAGGGTTACTGAGTTCTTCAAGGGGGGGATCAAAAATTTGGTGAGCCAAGCTTATGCCAACTGGCAGATACAGCTTTCAATCAGCCACCTGAATTATTTTGGGAGGCTGGAGGCATCACCATTTCCAAAAGCCATAGTGCCAAGTCAACAGAAAGATTACAGGCAGTTTGAATCAAGCTCTCAGACTATGGGCTTCAGTTTTTCTTCAAAGCTGCTTATGAAAGAAGAACTGAGTGAAACTTTGGTATTTACGTCAAGTCACGACTAAGGGGTAGGTTTGCAAAATCAATTGTGTAGCTTTTATACTCACTGCACATTTACCACATATGTCCTTTATTACACAGTGGAAAACCATTAAATGCACAGTAGTTTTGCCAAGTGGCATTATGCATTTAACAGCTTTATTCGTTTAACAGCTCCAACTCTCATTATATTTTGCCATGTGGTACATGGGATTTTATGCATTTAACAGTTTAAGAAGGCTCTATGGTGTTTTCTTTTCATGTATTTCATACTACGGTTGGACATCGTATCTTAGCAAACTGTATTTCAATGATTTCATTGATGAGCAAAGACTAAGAATAACCTGGAAAAATTACTACAAGAAATTAAAAAGGAAAAGGAGTATTTCAATTCTCTTCAAAATTCCTTGATATTCTACTCCTTTCTCTTTATCAACATCTGAAAAATAACTTGTCAGGTTACTGCAAAACTATAGGTAAAAAAGGCTAATCCCAAAACAATATAATTAGTCTAAATACAATATTTAGCTACCTATCATTTTAAAGATGATAATTTAATTTTCATTGAAAACCTTCCTGCTTAATAGAAATACAATATTCAGTAACTCCCTTTCTTTTCAGCACACAACAGAAGATCTGTTAAGGAGATGCTGGACCATTTTACCATTTACATATGTGGGATGAAAACATTTGTCATGCAAGGCCACAGAGGAAATCAAGCTCAGAATCAAAGGACTCTCAAAATTACGCTTCAGCTAACTTTTGTTTCCTCTACCCTGCACTGGATCATTATTCATCCTAGGGATAAATAAGTAAGCACCTCAACCTAACCCATTTTAGGAGAGGGTAGTAGTTGTCCCTTTAAACGAACTGAGAAAGATAGTGGATCCCATCAACTGTGCTGCTTTCAGAAATAAAAAACCTAAGCATCTGCTTACCCTTTTCCCTGGAGCATTCCATTCCCCACAATCCCGGCACTGAGAAATTGTACTGGATAAGCTTCTGTGTTTTTCTGTTATAAATTTTAGCACTCGTTCTGGGGACCCCCCCCAACATGTGTTTTCTCCTGGAAAAAACAACTGTATTCTACACATAAAAGAAACACCTGACATGGCAAGGTGTCTCTGGGGCTGGAGAAAAGAGGTTATTATAACAAAGTCAGCAGTTCCCCTGGAGGGAATATGAGAGGGGATTAGACAAGATTCCAACTGGGTCTCAGGAAGATGCTGTTTTGTACATGCTAAGTTTTGCTCAAATATCAAAAAAAAAAAAAAGAGAGAGAGAGAGAGAAAGAAAAGGGATACATAGCAGTGCTTAGAATTATGAGAGAGAGCATTCAAGGCTGATGCTTTTTAGAAAAAAAAAATCTTTAAAAGAAAAAAATCTGGGTTTTAACTTAGTCTCTATTTTGAACTCCAGTGGGAATAAAAGCAAACTGCAGAGCAAAATGCAGAACATGACAGGTTCCCTAGGGATTATTATTGTTATTATTATTATTATTATTATAGGAACAGATGTATTTTTATTGGTGGGAGGAGGAGAATGGTCTAATTCCAGCCCTTGCTTTCGCTCTTTTAAAAAACCACTCACCTGACTTTTATTTGCAGCCACTTTGGCAAACAGGGCTTGAGACACCTTGGCCCTTTTCATCTCCTGTTGGATCTCGTCATAAATGGCAGCTGTGATGTTGACGTTGGCGCCGTCCACCTTAATGGGGAGGTCTGTTGTCGGTGTCGAGGTTTTGGCCTACCAAGAGACCATGAAAATAATAATTTAAAAAGTGCTGCATTCAGCCCAGCCATCTGTGCAGAAATTACCAAAGGATTTCAGTCAGCTGATGCCAAACTGCATTAGCTACAAAGGGACACTTCCTGTCCATTATTCTAATCAGGTTAATTGTGATTGGAAATAATTGCAGTGCATTCCTATAGGACACGCAGAGTCCTGTCAACCCTGTTGTTTTCCTCACAGTATCTTCGACAGTTCACAGGTAGGATGGCTACTCTGGGCACCAAACTAAAAGCGATCCACCTAACTGCAAAACAAGCATGCAGAACACACATGCAGCTACCTTTTTCTTTCTAAAAATGGCACACCTTGGAGGAACAGCCGATTCTTCCAGAAAAAAAATGAGTAAATGGGTAGAGGTCTCTAAATAATAAATTATTACTCAATTTAATGCACTCCCCCGAGTCTCTCTCATTCTTTATTAAAGCTTTACATATGTCATTTGAGTATGTATGGTTTCTCATCATTATCATCATTATGCTACCCAGACAGTCACCTAATTTCACCTAGGAAATCAGTGGAAATGAAACAAAATTTCATTTCATGAAACTAGGCTTCAGAATGCCTTTGATGTGCCGTTTTCATTTCCTTAAACTCATATTGTGGTTTTATGTATTCTGCCGTGCTCGTTTTAATTGAATGATCTCCCATCAGCTTCAGAGACAAATGAAGGACAATCTAGAAGGTGTTTGTACTTCTTGGGGTTAAGATAACCCTAAAACATTTGCATCTCCATGATCCAAAAGACTGTCAGGAGCATTTACTCTGGTGTATAATGAGAGGGGGCTAGGAAGCCTTCTCAGAACCCACGGCCGCAGGACCGCAAGAAAAGTCACCCCTGATTTTTGGTTCCTGGGCACACCTGGCTGATTTGAACTAAACTGGGTATTTTTCTGTCTCCACTCACCCTAGAATCCCAAACCAAGGCAGTTGTCACCAAATCATTACTTTCCCTCTACGGATGCCCTGAGCTATTCCCCCACTGAGGAAGCAGCCTGCAGATTTGGAGAAAGACCCAGCATGCAGCCTGGACACTGTGGGATCATGCTCCATAGCATCTTGAAGCCGGCGTGAATATCCCAAGTTTCTATGCAGGCTTTCTTTCTGGAGAGTGCTCACTGACTTTTGCATTCTCCTTTCTCCCTGCCCCCTACTATTTTCTAATTACCACAGAATAAATAATAACTATAATGTATGTGGTACTTTTCATTTGCCAGGCACTCCAGAAAGTGTTTTACTTTTGTTATTTCATTTAATTCTTTGAGGAACCTGGTTAAGTTGGGCTTTATTATTTTCATTTTACTGAGGAAGACAACTGAAAAGAAAAGGATACTCAACCTGCTGGAAGGACATGCAGCAGCAAGTGACAGAACCATGATCTGAATTCAAGTGCTTTTGGCTCCAGAGCATTGTCTCAGGATACTGCACTATCCTATCTCCAAAATCTCCAGTTTAGTCTGGGTGCTAAAGAAGATGCAAACATCTTCTTGCCTTCTAGTTTGGGGTCTTCTCATAATAATCCAATTTTCTGTCTTTTTTTTTTTTAAAGAAAGTCCTTTATCTTCTCAAAATTTCTAGTTAATCTACCGTGCTTTTCCTGTTAAGTACTTATTTTAGTATATCAATCCCACCTTTCTCAACTGAAATTTCTTCATCAGCCTCACTGACTATTTCATCTTACTTGATGGGTCAAATCTTCTCTAGAACGCTCAGGGCTAAAACAGAACCCCTCAAGGCACTATAATATATGGTTAGGAGCCCATGCCTTCCAATCAAAATAACCAGAGTTCAAATCGTAGCTCTCCAACTCAGTCATGCAACCTTACACCAGTTATTTAACCCCCCAAACCTCAGTTTTCTCATCTGTAAAATGGGAATAACCACACAAAATGGTGAGGACTGAATTCATGCAAAATGCTCACAGTACCTGATACACAGCAAGTGTTCAATAAATGATCATTCTTATCTTTATATTGTTGTTTTGTCGTTGTTAAGTACATCAAGAAATACTGGCCCACTCAAAGATTATGAGAAGGGCCTCTGAAGGTTTAATTTAACATTTTAGATTTCTTCCATTTGTTTTAAACCAATAGTAAAGTGTTGATGGGTTCTGGGAAATGCTCTCCATCAACCTACGTAGGCTGCCTGGGTGTTCCAGAATGCTGACTCCAACTAAAAGCTTCATCAGTGGATGCTCCTCTCACATTTGTTCTCACAACGAAAGCTTTACTAAGGATCTTTACTACTGAGATATGTATGTAAAGAAGTTTGAATAGTAGGTAATCAGAAAATGTTTTAAAAGACTTTAATAACTTCCTTCTCTCGATGTTTAACAGAAAAAGAAGAAAGTTCCAGAGAATGTACAAATGCCAGTGATATGACTATATTCTCAAAAAGATTTTATATTTATTTTCAGAAATCTCAAAACTGTGAAATTAAATGATCAATTTCCCTGTTATTCTTGTCCGTAAAGGGCACTTCTACATAGGAATTTTCTAGATGAAATTTTTCTGCTATTCAATAAAGCAAAATACTGACCCTGATTGTTTTCCCTGGTAAACTGCTTTGACTCTGAAAGCTATCAGGTCCTTGAAAAGTGTCTAAGAAATAATCGCACTAGAAAAATATTACAAAGAAGCAGAAAATGAACCACCAAGACCCAGGTTATTTTCTAACAAGTAGAAGTGACTTTCTAAGTTGGTTAAATGGCCATAAAGTATGGCTGGACTCTCTATAATGATTTATTGGGCTTCAAAAGTGGCAAAATTATCGGTGAATTTAAAGAAGTAAATATTAGTGCAAATGAACAACTCGTCCAACTCAATAGCTCAATATGTATGCCCCAAGATTTTAAAAAAATAAATAAAAAGAAAAAAGCTTGGTTACATGCATCCAAAGTAAGCAATCAAGAGACTTATTTTTGGTTTAACAGTAACTAAAATCCATAATTCACCAAAGACTAAAGTGTAAGTATCACAATTTGGCACTGCATGATAGAGAATGATCTTCAGTTAAAAATCTATTGCAGAGCAAAAAAAGTTATGATGTGTGGAAAAAAAATGGATGTACTTGAAAAAGCTCAAATATTTCTACTAGAATAAAATTCTGTTTCTATGTTTAATCAGTTCCTTGGAACTTATTAGAAAACACTCATAACACCAAAATCATAGTATCTACGCAAAAAAAAAAAAACTTTGGTTTCAAACTACCCATTTTTCTGATTTGTACAAATGTGTACCTGTTAAACATTTGTTTCGAGATATAACTTGCAGGCATCCTAGCAACAGTGAATGAGATGGCTTTAACATCAATCTATTGGCTAGTAAGAGTTTGGGGGAAATAGAAAGTAGACTATAAATGAATGGGCTCAGGTGTGAACTGGAAAGATCGCTTGGCTGACTTGAGACCTTGACCCCTTTATAAAGTTAGGATCTCTGAAGCACACAGCATTACTAGATGTATGTACACATTTGCAGGAAGACCAGATCAGAATGCTTTTAAAGTGCAGAAAAATGAGGGAAGGAAAGCTTACTCATCGAGTTCTGTAGGGAAGATGACCCTAGGAAGGAAAATCATTAAGGCCTACTTTCCGGGGCGCCTGGGTGGCTCAGTTGGTTAAGCAACTGCCTTCGGCTCGGGTCATGATCCTGGAGTCCTGGGATCGAGTCCCACATCAGGCTCCTTGCTCAGTGGGGAGTCTGCTTCTCCCTCTGACTCTCTCCCGTCTCATGCTCTCTCTCACTCTCTCTCTCAAATAAATAAAATCTTAAAAAAAGAAAAAAAAGAAAAAAAAGGCCTACTTTTCACTACTACTGTGTTCTAAGGGATCACTGAATGATCTCCCAAACATTCTGATCCAGCCGCTGCACATACATGCTTCCACCACACAGAGATTTCTCCCCCATTTTGTCTTTTTTCAGATTGTATAAAGAAGAGTTTGGATTACTCTACTTGTCCCCTGCCTACCAACACCCCCATCCCCCCTCCCTGCCCAGTATCCAAATAAATATACAGTTTAAGGAAAAGCAGTGTCCTTGCTATGCAAACTCAGCTTCAATTCAAATCCCCTGGCCCCATCTTAGATAGCTAAGCAGCTGTGTGCACACATTCTAGAGCCTACCCATCCACCCACTCCTGCCCCTTCTGTGTGGAAGAATGGTTCTTTTCTAAAGGGACAGGAATACCATATGACACAGTAAAGGATAACCACTATTACATGGTCAGAGGTTCATATCCTCTGACCAACATGATCAGTGAATCAAGAAATCCTTGAATTAAGCCTCTTAGTTTTTGAGAGAAACACAGATTCAGTGAAGGCAAGATGTTTCCAAGGGCAAGAGTGAAAAGTCAGTGGAACAAATATCTCACCTGAGGGGTTCGGGAGGAGCTGGGACTGCTAGAGGCTGATGAGACCATGCTCACATTGGGGTTCATGCTCCGCTCTCTCTCGTCCTGGTATATGCGATCCCGCTCCACTTCCGGCAGATTGAGGAAATTCTGCATGGCCCTCAAGTTTACTAAAAGAGACTGAGAGGCTGTCCGAGGGTCTTCTTCCTTACGCAAAATCTCAGACAACAATCCCTGATTAAATGGAAAAAAAACAAAAACAAAAAACAGGCTAAGTCATATCTGCCGGTGTGTGTGTGGTTTCCATCATCTGCCCCCCTCCCCCTTTATTTGTTTGGTGTAACCAGCTGGCTGTGATGTCAAGAACCTCAGTCTAATCGCTGAGGGTTCTCCAGCAGGAAGATTTTGTGGGAATGTGCTTGCCTTCCAGGGCTGTGCCTTATTCTGGACTGTTCTATTCTGACACTTTATCATCACTGTAATAATCGTCAGCATACAGAGATGCCAGCTAGCAAGGTAGGCGCTCGGAAGCCTTGTGAAACTGCAGTTACCACCAGGTGCCTCCTACAAGTATTTCAGGAACTGTTAGAACTCTCTCTGCTTGAAACTGGGAACACTTGGCAGTCCTGCTCAGCTTTACAAATCTGCCAAGTTTGGTAAATTTAGTTCCGACATTTAAACAGCATGGGAGATTTACATCGACTTAAAAAAAAAAAAAAAAAAAAAGGTTGGGTTTATTTTTTTTTGACCGGCCACTGTTATCAAAATAGATGTTTCTGAAAAAAAAAAAAAAAAAAAAAAAAAAGACACAAAGCAAATGGCCATAACTTGTGTTAACCCTCTGATAGTTTCCCAATCCACATACATAATCGGTATCCTTGTATATGTACGTGAGGGCACCCAAACCTTTCTTCCCCCCCTGGAGGAAGAAGCTCTAATCCCACCATTAAAACAATGGAAATACTGCCACATCTGGTGAGGGATCAGAGCACACATCAGAGACTGCCATGTATGGGCTCAGATAATTTCTGAATATGTGACTCATCCATATAGAAAGCTTTAAATAGGAAGCTAGTGTTTTCATGTGTTCTGATGGCAGGGAACTCACAAAAAAAAGGAAAATGTTGATGAGTCTAGAGAAAAGAGTATGCACTCAAGAAAAGGGCTGGAACACAGAAGTAATTTGGGCAAAAACTAAACCATGTCTATTCTGCACTCTTGTTAGATTATCACACAGAGGCACCACTTTACACCTCCAACTCAGGGCATCTCTTCTCAGGGCAGTATGAGACCAGAGTCTAGGATTATCCTCCAGAAAGAGCTAAAATGTTAACCTCTGTATCTTAGAATACATGGGGCAACTCCAAATTGTGAAAAGTAGATGCCAAAGACATTTCCACTGAGGGGAATGTTAATGCAAAGAAAACACTATCAGGTTTGTAAAATATGGCTTAAATACAAAAAGATGTTAGATGCAAGAAGAATATACAACCTCTGGTTGGGCAGAAATCTTCAGGGTAAGATAGGGAATTTTTAAAAATAAGTAATGCATTATAATGTAGTGAAGCAAATGTCACAAGAATGTGCATCACTCGACTATCAGCACTCCAAGGAGGTAATCACCAAAGTATCATGTAAGACAATTTATAAGGAATCTACAAGTAGTATGCCACACGATAGTTCTGAAACATGGGTGTCATGTTGCTTTGATTAGAGAAGTCTTTGTAAATAAGAATAAAATATGCCATACAATGAAGCTAGCAGAAATGTTAACAAATGTGTGTCTGTGGGCATGCATGCCCAAAGAAAGGAAAAGGTAGGACATAAATGTGAAAATACTATATTGGTAAAATGATTGTAAGAAAATCCAGATTTCTTATCATGCTTTTAAGAAGCAAGAGACATTTGTCTTCCAGAAAATGTTATACAATCTAGGTATGGATTCTTTTTTTGATATTAAAAGTCAGTTCTGCCTTAAGTTATCTTACTTTCTACTTGCATTAAGCAACTTGAAATATTAATAATGAATTTGTCCTAAGATAAAAATCTCCAAATTAATATGTAGAAAGGTAAGAGGGAAGTGGATTTAAAATCAATACCAATAAGACACTAAGACTGATGTTTCCTGAGCTTTCTAAATGAACTCTGCACATACAGGACGAGTTGGTCCCTTCCTCCTCCTTTTCTTTCTCTAGTATAAGCAACTTTAGCATTTTAATAAATCTCAGACTACCAAATTTGGAGGAATTTTAGGGGACTCTGCATGGATATATTCTTCATGCTAGTTACGACAATTATACTTACAGTATCTCAAAGGCAAAATTTGTAAAAAGTATTCTTCTGTGAAATTATTTTTGCAAGTGGAGTCCATTATAGTGAAGCTCTTACATACAAAATGGTGAAATAACAAAAACTATTGTTCTAATGGACCAGGTTCAAAATAGCAAGTTTGTTCGTTCCTAATCAATAAAAAAATTATTCCAAAGCACAGAGGTCTTTTACTTGTTTCTTATTTGGCTTGGTCCACTTTATTTTTTTCCCCACACAAATTGTGGAGTTCCTTCCCCTACATTTTTTACATGTTGGACAACCCTAGAGGGAAATGAATCCATCTCTAAGAAAAATCAAGACAAAGCATCCTTGTAAATGACTGCTCATCAGCATCATTTCTGAAGTGAATGAGAGACAATGTTTGTATTTTGAGGGGGCTGGTGGAATATACTGTTGCCTCTGTTTCATTTGCCTAATTGAAGATAAAGTCTCAAACCAACAAGGTGACCATTGCTGCCTCCATGTATTGCCCCAGAGAATGAAAACACTGTTCTAAATTATTTACTTAAAGTCTCATCTGTGTAGCCATGGTCCCAAAGCAGATTCTTTTTACATCAGACATTTTCAACAACAAGTGGCTAACTGGTGAGCACAAAAAGAGTTCTAGTTGTTTTGTTGAGTCTTTTTCATTTTGGTTATTTATGTGCTCTTCACTATTTAAGCTGGAATTTTAAAAAATTTGGTCCAAATTCCGCAGGCTCATGAATGTAGAGTGAATTTATTTAGTTAGCTGAAAATCATCAGGGGGGGTAGGAAATCATAAGAAAATCTATGGCATAATTTACACCACAAACCACCTTATCTAATTATCAAGATAAGTAAATGTTTACCATATTGAAACTGTCTTGAATAGAACATAAATTAATAATTTATCTCACATAAATATTTCTAAAGTCCTTGCCACTATGTTGTCTGGCATTTTAATTATCAGCCAGCCAGGCAGGAGGTGTCACTTGAACATTCCCATTACGCAGCCCGAGATACAGAAAATGCGGCATGGCACCTGGGCGCTGGAAAAAAAAAAAGTACTTTTATGAATAGAAAGGTCATGAATATTGAGAATGTGAAAATTGAGGGAAATTAATAAATTAACCAGGATATTGCTTATTAAACTTTCATATCAGTAATCATATTAAAACATATTGAAAGTATTGAATAAAGTGGTCATTAAGAATTTTCCTCATTGTAGGCAACAGAGCCTTCTCAAGGGAAAGATTATAACAATTCCCAGCATGGTGTTAGCTGAGGTTATGTAAGACCAGGAAACATGTTGACTGAAAAGGAGTAGAGTGAACATCTGCACAGGGAAGAAAGACACCTTGCACAATAGCTCTTGGGTTACAAGCCACTGAAAAAAAGAACGGAGTCCGGCAAAAAGAACCTCAAATTGGCCTTCTCCTTAGCCTTTTTTTTTTTTTGAAGATTTTATTCATTTATTTGACAGAGACACAGCGAGAGAGTGAACACAAGCAGAGGGAGTGGGAGAGGGAGAAGCAGGCTTCCCTCGGAGCAGGGAGCCCGATGCGGGGCTCGATCCCAGGACCCTGGGATCATGATCTGAGCCGAAGGCAGATGCTTAATGACTGAGCCACCCAGGCGCGCCTCTCCTTAGCCTTTTAATGGGGGATTTTGTAAGCTTTATATTATTTCTAGTACCCACAAAGAATATATGACGTTGGCAGAAAATTCAATAAAAACAAAATAATTAAAAGCACAAGAGATAATATAATGCCATCTAGCTTGGTGGCTAATACAGGCTACCCTCCACTCCACAAACAAAACAAAGAATTAGGGCTAATTTTTAAAATGAAAAATTGATATACTTATTATTTCTAGTATTTTAAATAATATTTATTTGCGACAAACTAAATGACCTCATAGTTTCTGAATCTGCAATTTCTGTTGATGAGCTTTCTTGCTTATGTTATTATGATTTCCATATTTCTTCAACAATTTATATAGTTTGCCCCAAATTGTTAGTGTATAAAATACATGCTGACACTCAGCAACGCTTGGGAAACATTACCATGACTGGCTCTATAAAATTTAGTTCTAAGTTTCTGCACTAGCCCTTGAGGCCTTGTCTGAGACAGGTGAGAAATTGCTTATGATGGACCCTTAATTCTTTAATGGAGCAAGAAGAGAACCAGAACCTGGACTGGGTTTTAGGAACACTGAGTCTGAGCCCCTCAGACCTTCTCAGGACTGACAGCAACAGCTGAGGTCATTACTGCCTGGATTTTAACAGACTCTCATTCTTCACATCTCCCAGACTTTTGGTAATTCTGTAGGCTCTATCTCCCATTGATTATCTAGGGAACCCCCAAACTCAATGTACCTATTACCAAAACATGACAGGTCAGTCTATTAATTCATTTCTTATGACTTGGTATGAAGCTAAGAAAGGGATGAGAATATTAAGAAAACACAGATTCTGCTGCCAAGGAGTTCACTATATGATGGTTTATAGAAACACAATGTAAAAGATGACAAGTGTCATAAATTCTAGATAGAATGAGTGCCGGCTCCGTTCACAAGAGGGTAAAAGTATTGCCAACTGCAGGACTCAGGGAAAACATTTTCGAAGAAGTGGGACTTAACTTGGCTGGGATTTGAAATACACATAGTACATGGATATAGAGATAATGATGAGACTAGGCAAAGGAGGATAGGCAAGTGAGGGACTAGGCAAAGGGGGATAGGCAAGTATTAAAACATTGTTAGAAAAAGAAAGAGCATGACTGATCCAGAATGCCTAAAGAAGTTTCTGTTTCTTTAAAAGCTTTAAAAAAAAGTAGAAAAAGCTGATAGGGCAGTAGAAGACATTTTGAAGTGAAAATACTATAGTCCACATTAATATAATTCCGAACTACTGGAGTATACACAAAATAACCAGCAAACAT